CAGCATCTTATTACAGAAGTCCCAGTGCAACTTGGTTATCTCTTCAGGACAAGAAATGGATCAGATAGACCACTGGTCTCCAACTTTGGGTCACCCAGGTGTTCTTAGATTGCAAGTCCCAGAAACCCCAGCCAGCACCGCTGGTGGTGAAGGCTTCTGGGAACTGTAGTCCAAGAACACCTGGGTTACATGAGGCTGGGAACCATTGAGATAGATGAACATCCTTTAATGTTAGCAAAGTGATTATGAATATTGGTGAGATACATTGAGAAAAAAACACTTCAGATACATCTGGAATCATATTTTAGTCATTGCTTCACATATTCATTTTAGTACTGTCGTATGAGATCTGGCTGTTATAGTCTAAAAAGGTAGCTTTTCCAAGCACTGTATGCCCCACGCACAGATGAGCTGAGATGTCCTGAAAGCCAAATGCTCCCAGCATAGGCAAGTGCTCTTATTAAGCCTAACCACACACAAAGAAGACCAGGTTGCCTGGCAAAAAGCAACACCCAGGCTCTGAGTGTCTTGAGCGGCCCACTGAGAAGTCAGGGGCCCTTTCTGCTCAGGAAAGATTTACTTTAATAGGACCAACAAGGAACACTGAGCTGCCTGAACCAATTACTTTCCTTTCCATCTCGGCAGGCTGCCAGTGTATGCAAATAAAGATGGTCTGGAGCTCTATGTTAATGAAAAGAAATAGGTGTAATTTACTGGTAGGGCTAATTCATTTCAACAGACTTTTTAAAGCATTTCCTTGAATTAGCATAGCCATTAAACACTGCAATATCAGGGCAGCATCCCTTTCTGTCATTAACATTCGGACACCAGCCTCTGTTGCACGACTACAGCTGTCCTTCCCATTAAACTAAGTGAAGCAATACTCTCTTTATTCCTCCTGAGCATCTTCTGCTTTCCTCACTCTTGCAGGACACAGCCATGTGTGCCACAGAACATAGCCTGCGTCTTCAAAACTAACCTGCAGCCTTCAAGCATTCTTCCCTTTACCTTCTTATCCTTTACCTAAGGTTGCAACATGTAAAGGGCCAGCCCTATATATTATAGTGCATAACTTTATAGAAGGGATTGGAAAAGACTTTCCCTACTAGAGCCCTCAGAATCCCCCAGCCAGCATGACCATGGGGGGGTTGTGATCTGAAAAATTTCAATTTCCCAAACTCTGTTTATTTCCATAGCACATAATCCTTAACTTTAGGCTTCTTCTACATCAGCTACATAGGCTGTGATCTTAGGCACATTTACCGAGGAGCAGACCCCAGGAAACACAGTGGAATTCACACCTGGATAAAGCAGAGTACAATAGGCTTCTACTCTTCATATCTGTTCGAATAGGACTTGTTGTGTTTGAAAAATCTTCATCATCTGTTTGACCAGAGACCACAGTGGACACAAGAAATATGTGCACATATTACCCATGGACAAATATGATGTTATACCACTGTCCCACTGTTCTACCCACTTTTTGTAGAAAAGCTGTTCCTCCATAATTCTCTGCCCAGCATTGCTATATTACTTCGGTCAGTGATATTCCTATTCTCCTTACTGGAAGTTTTGTGTACCATTAAAACTTGCTTCCTCTTCTCCTAACAGAAGCTGAGATGGTCAATGGCAGCCCTATTCTGTCTGCCATACTCTGTGAGGCCCATCAGTCCACGTTTTCTGCACTATCAGCAAATAGGATCGTTTCCCCAATTTCCCAGATTAGAGATAGTGGGCTCTTCATGTCTTGGGACACAATGGATGAAGCTCAGTACCTAATTTTGAAAGGCATTTTATAATGAAATAGATTTGGCAGATGACTGTGTGGTTTTGCATTCTGTCCAAGATAGGAAACAATCCAGAATCCAAAAGATGCCAGTAAGCCCAAAGTGTCAAAAACAATTAAAAGATTTGAATTTGAGCACTGGATTTCCCAAGACGCCAGTAAGCCCAAAGTGTCAAAAAATTAAATTAAAAGATTTGAATTTGAGCACTGGATTTCAAGTTTCACATTCAACGTTTTTTAAATAAAGCTCCTGTAATTTTGGAAAATATTTGCAAATAAAAGTTTCAGCTCCAATATTAGCCATGACCTCTTGCTAGTGAAAGAACCCAGAACCACTTTGCAAGGAAAGAGTCTCCAGCTTATTAGCAGTATGGTCAAAGAACTAGGACTATCGGGTTTCCTGTCAAATACCAGTCAGATAAGACCCCCTAATGCCATGATTAGCAAAGGATTTCATGAACCAGAGAAAGAAAATCAGGAAGACACCAACTGTAAGAAAGAAAAGAAGCCATTTGCCTCCACCATTAGGCAGATGGTTGCAAACAACAGATGTGAGGTTTCACAGAAGAGAAGCAAAGTGTTACCTATATAAGTTGCTGCTGATGATGATGTTGTGTTTTTAGTGCCAGGATGGGAAATGTTTCATGCACATGTGCGAAATAACTTGATTGGCCTTAAGCAGTTTGCACCTTAACATGAGTGAGTGGAGAGCACACTGTGAGACACTTTGCCTCAAACAGCAAAACCTCTTGGGCCAGCCCTGGAAAGAAGCCTCGAGATGCACAGAAATAAGTGCCTTAAAAGTTAAGGGATGCTTTTGGGTATAACTAACTTGGTCTTTAGCCTACAGCTTCGTTGCAAAAAGCTTTCTGCCTCTGACTCGGGCTGCCCTCACCAAAAGCTTTAGATTCCAAATGGCTTTGGCTCAGCAAGCATCCTTCTGCGTGCCTCCAGGCTTTCTCTGTTCCTCTCCTCCATGACACCAAGGATACCCTTGCATAACTTGCAGAAAGCCTCCCTTTTTAAAATGCATCCTGGAGTTATCTGGAAGCTGTGGCAGGGTGAAGGTCTACGTCCGCTTCTTCTCACATCAGTCACAGAAATTGTTCTGTCTGGTCTCCTGAAGGAAGTGCAGAAATGGCTAGAAGAATGCAGGAAGTCACAGAAAAAGAGGCAGGCACAAAAGCAGCAACCATCAGCCACAAATGGGTCCCATGGACCCAAGGCTCAAGCTTACCGCTTACCATTGAGTAGGGAACTCACGTGTCCCCAGATGTGGGAATCATCTTCATCCTCACCCGTGTGTGTGTGTGTGTGTGTGTGCGTGTGTGCGTGCGTGCGCGCGCGCGCGCTCAGGCCTCTTAAGAGTCTGCTATTCCATCTGTGGAGTTCCAGCAGGACACCCTGCTCTCGAGAACCCATTAGAAGGGAGATGACACAAGAGGAGATGATTGTTACCGAAGGAGGGAACTGAGTGAAGCTCATAGAGCCAGGGAGGCAGTATCACAACAAAGGGCCCTGGCTGGTCTAGCGTTCAGCTGTTGGCCCTGAACCACCCATTAAGCAGGGCCGGAAGGCAATGATCCTCCTTCCTTTTGTTTCTCCTTAATTCTCAAGGATATACTCTTCCTGAACATGGAGGCTCCACTTGAGCTCTTAGTAGGAACTCCCCCCCCCGCCCCCACCCCTGGCTCCCCTGAGCCTTCTCTCTTTTTATAGCCTGTACCATCTATATGGAAGCTAGTTGTGCGTGGGGGGGGGGGGGAAGCGGAAGACTTGCCCCGGGTGGGACTGTGCCTGTCCCAAGCCCATCCCAGCTTCGGGGCGGCCGCTTTCCTTTCAGACGCCGCGCCCGGCAAGCTCTCCCTCTGAGGGAGCCGCCGGCAGCGCGGGGCGCGGGCTCTCCTCTCTCTTAGCTATTGGCTAAGACTCCTCCATGTGTTAAATTAGCATAAAGAGACGCAGCTGGCCCGGGAACCACTTGGGGACCAGCGCTTAACTGTGCGTC